AAGTCTAACTAAGACTACAGTAGTAAAAGGGATTTGATAAACCACTTTTGCATACATAGTTTACCATTCTCTTTATGTATTCATACAACAGGCCAAGAACATGACTCGTGTTTGCCAAAAGTATTGAAGTAGGAAATGTGCACACCTTCCTGAGACTTCTCTTCAAATTCATAAAGCCTAGAGCCTTCATAGTATTGACGAAATGAGAACATACATTTGTTGTTCTATTCAACAGAGGTCTGGCATGAGGGTCATAGCTTAAGCGAACTACAGTGAGTGACATGTGATCGCATTATCACTTACAAATGGACGGAAAAGGAGATACAAAGAAACACTGATTTGCCTCAGTCTAGCTTTGTAACAATTTTCCATACTTATTACATAATTATGTATTCTAGTTTCCGTGTTTTTACTGTCTCCATTGTTATTAATATCATGGCTACTTTTTACCCAGTGATTTCAAGTCAACTGACTGATTGAAAGCCATTTCTAAATGCTTTCTTGTGTTTCATCACGTAATCATTTTTCAGTTATGCTGGTAATCATTTAGTGTTTCCGCTGATAAGCCAACTACCCAAACTTCCTGAATCTTCTTGTAGACTTGCAATAAACAGCTATTTCATTTTCGCGATTTTTATCACTGATTACTGCATAATATTTCACCAACTGTTCTGTCATTAAACTACCATCTTTATCGTAAACTTCTGTTGAATATTCCATTCAAACACCACTTGTTCTCATTCTCACGTGTTAGTATTCTCTACTGTTGCTAGTAACTTCCATTCCCAGAAACATCTTCAAAAACACTGAATAAATAACACAAAGTGAAAAGAATACATTGGAAATAGATAATTCTAAATGTTCAAGAAATAATACGTACATCACTGCATGACGGTAGATACCACTGACTGATCGGAGTAATTCGAAAACATTCAAAGAGATCAGTAATGCCCACTAAGCCTGTTTCTTTTATTTGAGACTGAGTTCATCCCCAGTATTTAACTCAGCCCAGAGAGCTGAATGAGTTCAAACAGCCTAAAACGGTTGCCTCGAAGCCATATTGATTAGTGTGAGTGGTTTCCAGCAACGCATATGAATCCGCACTATATTCCATTTTAAATCTTGTTTTTGAAGCAGACATAATAGAGAGGACAAAAGGGTGAAATGAAAATTTTATTTCTAGGACCTACAAGTACGTTTTTCCTATTTCTGAATATAGCTTGATTGCACACTGTATTATTGGTACAAGTATGGAATTTTCAGTATGTGATATCAGTAGCCCGAATTTCTCAGGCTGACCAGTTGATATCAAGTGTGAATCGGCTGGGGATAGAACCCCAGACCATGTGCATGGTCGGTGAGAGTCCTAATCGCTGTGCCACCGACGCACACTAATTGGTCAGATGATTAAATGAGTAATATGTCGAGTTTTAACAATTCCAGCTTTACCTATCAGTTAACACCTACATTTCCTTGAGTAAAGTGAGTTTATAGCAAACATTTGATTGATAGCATAGCCATAAAGTATGAAAAGTCTTTACTTTTGTCAACAGATAGATTAGTGTGACTAAATTACATTTAGTCCACCCCAAAGATTTATACGATTATTCAAAGCAAATCACGATGGTTGTCTAAAATGCTTATTAATTTTTAATTTTCTTTTAAGTCTTCCTTTCAATTACGAGTTACCATTATAAATCTGAAATTCTAAATAATTTAAGTTTCAACTGACATTGTAATTGCTTAATTGACCACGCAAGAAATTTTAAATTATTCTGTAACCACTTTCACATATGTATGAAATTCACACTTCCTCCTCTGTGACCACCATTTAGGGTACCACAAAATATACGTTTATATTCATACAAATGCTGATTACCTGAGTATATACTTAAATTATTAGATTTTTCAGGACTATATTATTCTAGTTTGTGCATTTTCACAGCTGATTTTCTGTTACTACAGTTAAACTGAAGAAAAGGTAGTCAATCAAGTATCGACCATCTTGTTTCACCTGAGTGATGAAACATCAGGATAGACACTATTATGTACCTTTCTCACCACTCATTCACACTGTTTGACATGCTGCTCAAAAAAAATATTTTTTATTTCAAATATTTTGTGTTTAGCCTTTGGAATAAATACTTTCTTCACTGTGCTATAAAATGTTTAAGGGGAATATTCATAATTTTCAAGTATTGGTTTTGTAAAGATCTTGTTTGATTGTATGGAGGATTTCACCATGAACTGACATCAGTTAGAGAACCATTGGAAAACTCTGAGTGTTCTGGACAGCTGTTTCTTCCTAGTCTGGGACTCTTCGGCAGTAAAAGTTAGAATTCAAGAACCATTGAGTCGCGTCCCAGTGGCTCAATGTTCCACGAACTCCCCTCGTAACCAGAAGGTGCTGGGTTCAAACTCTGGTGGGTGCGTACTGCTGAAGAGTTCCAAATTAAGACGATGCAGCTGTCCAGCACTCCCAGGTTTTCCAGTGGTTCTCTAACTGATGTTAGCTCATGGCGAAATCCTCCATACAATATATACATAACTAAAGGACTTCGTTTCTATGATGTCTGTCTATTGAGTAAAGTACTTTCAAACCACATTGAAGGAACGAGACCCAACAAGATTTTTATATATACCTTGTGAAGATAGAACGTATGGTGAGCATAAAGAAGACGTTGGTTATGAATGTACCTAACAGACAACAACAAGGAACAATCACAATCGGTGGGAGATATTTTAAGGAAGTCGCCTCCTACACTGGCTTCAGCAGGACCATTCCAACTACACGCAGACGGCAGCGATGATGTCAGGACCGATAAAGCAAGACATGTATTTATTACTCAAAAAGCAGTGCGTAGACCTATAGCAATTAACACGGTGGACAACAATCCAATCTCCAACATTAGTTTCAACTCAATGTTTCTATGTGATTCACAGTCTTGGCATGAGGCTGACAGAAAGCATTTACAAATGCTGAAGACTTTAATCAACAAATACCTTGTCCATATGTATGGGGAAATTCAGATTGCTGGACTGAAAGGATAAGCATCAAGGGACTTTCGGTGTAAAGCGAGAAGCTATTAACCTACAAATATAACAGAAGAAAGTGGTGATAGACTGAACATATGTCGAGGAGACTACTGAATGACATCGTATCCTAGGCTGACCATCTGGCAGGATGAGAATGAGGAAAAACGGTTTTGTTGTGCATTCGAGAAAAACGTGAACGAGTTCATTTGAAGAGGTTATAACAGTTTTGGAATCAGCTGAAAGGGAAAAAAAATTTGAGTGGAATTGACATATCTCACAGAAGCCCTAAGTCCCATTCGGAATACAAGGAATGAATAATCATAATAACTTGGATAAATACATAAAGGTATTAGAGTGAAACAGATCACCTAAACGGTTCAGTCCTAGCAACTTATACAGTTGAAACCAAATGAATAAAAATTCAATATACGAGGGATTCAACAGCAGTGAGGGCAGGTGTTCTTTGAACATAATTACCTGCACACTTAGCTGGATACACAAATAATTTGAAGGATATAATTCATTGTCATGATTAAAATGCACACTTGTTACTTCATTCAGTGCACAACCTTTCATTTTCTCCGCAATCATTGTAAACGGTATGGGTTAGGTATGCATTCTTTAGAAAACACTAAAATATGAGGTTTAGTGTATATATATAATAGGGAAATAACAGATAGTAAGTAGACAAAATACTAGGGGGACATGGAATGAGTACCAGTGTGATTTTAAAACCTTATCGAACGGATACTAAGGACAGAGCGTTCTCTAATGATAACCTTCATTAGTGAGATATTGAGATCATCGATATTTCTTTCATTCTTTTTCTTCTTATTTAGGAGAGATCTTACCATAATTTAAGGTATCTTAAAATAGCTTCATACAGTAGTTACCTGTATAATTGTAATCAACTATTATGGAATTTGTCATCTGATATATATATATATATATATACGCTGTCAAAGCGGAAAAATATCAGACCTGATATTCTAAAGACAAGGTCACTATATAGTACTGACAATGAAGCAAATGAGGCATTTGTTTCTCTGTACAAATATATGCTCACAAAGTCAGTCTTTTAATTATAAGTGCACGCATAATAATTTACGCGTGCTTGCACATAGGCATACAGGCACCTACATGCAAACAGGCAGATACCGAGGTGAACACAATTTAATGTTGTGTTTAGGTAAACGTTAAAGATAGTGATTTTCTTGGCACAAATTTTATGAGCACACCATATATATATATATATAGAAGACACATACTCACGTGCCTATCAATAGACAGAAGGCAATCCTCACAATGATTTTAACACACCAAACAGTTTTTGTGTTTTAGTTAGGTAGTACAACGACTATTGACCTTGACAAGGTTGAATTGGTTCTTTTTGTCTACATATGTGCACAATTATAAGTTTGTATTGTTATTTTTCATTGTGTGTTAGTTTCGAAACCCATCTATAACTCTATATACCTAGGTTTGTATGTATATATGGATGTCTGTGTATACATATGTGCGTACCCCTATTCTGAGTGTTCATATGTGAGTCTGAATTATCTTAAGAATTTTTAAAGTAACTCAAATAACAAAAGTATTAAAATTGTTAGGTGTAGTGATAGATTTCTTGGCAGAAACGAATATTTCTTGTTTCTACACCAAATTAATTTTTATAGTTATTTAGTTATTACATAAAGATACATTTCGATTGTAATATTTCTGAGCTCTCTTTCTCTATCTATCTAACTATTTGTCTCACCGTCTTTATCCTTCTTATTTCGTTGGTAATATTAACTCTCTTCACAAGTGAACACATTTTAATATCACTAAAACTGGAATAATATCAAATTTTATCACTTTATTTTACACACAAAGTGATAATTCAACGTCAAAGGAGAAAGCATTGAAATAAGAAGCTTTTTATAACATTTTCGTCAGATTATCGAACAAAGATCGAAACAAAAATGAACTCATACTTCGATGAACAAGTAAGTTGCTAATCTATGTGAACTTTGTATTTTCATCTATTTTTTTTAAATGTATTAATACATGATAATTGTTTTGTTTGTATATTAGTTTAAAGTTTAAAAATGATGAATTACTTTGATGATGAATGTTCCTTTTCTTTTAAAACATCAATACCTGAATATCAAGAAAAAAAAGATAGTTACTGAATGGATTTTTAACAGGTATACATACAGAGCCTACCTACTTCAAGTGATGTAGAACTAAGGTCACACAATGCTGCTTTTCATGCTTATATATTGTTCTTTTCGACTGACTCACTGAATACCAGTTCTAATTTACACTGTTTGCTGAATACACGTATCCCTTTAACTAATTGATTTGGGTATACAGAGTTATTTTTAAAATATCATTTCAATGTATTGAGTAACTTGGCCGATGTCTGATATATATTATTGATCAACAGACACGAATTCAAACGAAGTCACACTAGATACTTATTAGAACTTCCTTTTTAAGACGATTCTCACATTTCTTATAAAGTTAGAAATAATTATTCGGGATTCAAAGCAAGATAAGTGTGTCTGTGAGATAGTCTGAATGATGCCTCTCAGCGGGCTACACTAATTAGAGTCTCAGCATATTTACTGCCCAAATGAACTAGTTGTATTATATTTGAAATTCGTAGAAATTCGGATGACGGAGATCTAGTTAGCTGGCTGGATAATAACACACTTGCCTTCACACTCGTTTACTCACTATTAAACAATCAAAAACTCTGGGTAAAACTTAAGTTCAGCAACTGATATTTGTTCATGAAGAAGTCGTAAATTGCACAAACCTCAGTAAATCAAACAGGTCAAGCGGTGTAGGCAAATACTAGTAATTTAAGAAATTTTAGAATCTGTCAGCACTTTATGCATCCTTACGCTATAGAAAGTAATATTAAATGTGTCATAATAAGATTAGTATTTATTTGTTGCAATAAACAAAAGTATATTCTTGAAATTTAAACAGGTTTAATACCAATTTACAGTCACAGTACTTACCGACCACTACTTAAAGTGTATTAGTCAACGGAAAGTATTGATCATCATGTAGCCATGGTTTCTGAAATTAAGTTTTCTTTACCTCGATAATATTTATTTGGCCATTCAATTTTAATAGAAAAGTATAACGTTATTAAAGTTCTAACCATTTCAACTGTCTAGCTCTCTAAAAACCAATTGAAATCCACCCACCACTTTGACACTCTGTCCTAGTTTCCAGTCAAAAGTGTAATTTTTTATCCTTAGCATAACATGGCATAAGTAAAAAATTATCTTGTTATCAACTCAGTAATATATGCTTTATTCAAATGATACGTTTATAAATTCCACGTTTCCCGATGTTTTCAATTGCTTACTATATCACAGATGAAAGTCACTTGGAAAATCTATAATGTTTAAATAACACAAGTTTTGTTGTTAACTGAATGAAATGAGACTGTTTTAGTTAGTAGACCAATGTTAACAGTATGTACACGATATTAGAAAGAAAAGAACATGAAGTTCAGCAAAGATATCTTTTTGGCGATTTCATTCTCAAAAGCTGTACAATCGCATGTATATAGATTATTTTACATGGATACAATTATTATTTGTTTAATTTCACATAGTAACGAAGGTGATAATAATTTTCAACTTGATATGAAAGTTTGAAGGTACGAAGATTACAAGGGGCTTAGAGACAAATTTTCATAGGATTAGAAAATAGTTACAACGTATGGAAAAATTTTTTATTTGATAACTGGAGAAATAATTTTAAGTAAAATAGAAGGTGATAATTGTTTTCAACTTGATATGAATTACAAGAGGCTTAGAAACGCAGGGATAGAACGAATTACAGGTGTGAACAAAATGAGCATAGGAACTAACTGAAATCAAAATTTTCAACTTGAAATGTTAGTTGGGAGGTGTGAATATAGATTACAAGAGGCATAGAAACAAAAAATTACACAGAATTAGAATAAAGTTGTAAAATTGTTATTCTAAACGGATTAAAAGTGTGACCACCTTCGTTACTATGTGGAATTAAACAAATAATAATTGTATCCATGTAAAATAATCTATATACATGCGATTGTACAGCTTTTGAGAATGAAATCGCCGAAAAGATATCTTTGGTGAACTTCGTGTCCTCTTCTTTCTAAAATGTCCATATACACGACAGGCGAAGATTGTCTAGTTGACGAAACAAATTATAAGTCCTCTGACTACTTGATTACCTTACGGTAATATCTTAAAATCATTTAAACCATCATATCATAGATGTTTCTATTCGTTAAGATAGCTGTAATGATACTACCTGAATCGTAAAATGACTATTTAGTTATGTAAGGTTAAATGAAACACTTGCTTTTACGAAAATGAGAATAGGAATTTGAGATAATTCACTAAAGTGAAGTCTGAATTGTGGTATATAAAACAACAGCCATAACTTGGGGTGAAGTAATCACTTAAATACGCTACAGATGGGATTATGAAGGGGACTTCCAAAAGTACAGTGAATTTTGTTTATGTAGAGATCTGACTGTGAGTGGGTGGCTCAGTGGTAAAATGCTGGGCGACCACACATGTGGTCCGGGGTTCGACCCCCGGCCAACGCACTCCTTTGCCTCACTAAGCAAGTAACAAATCGGTAAAGAGGAAAGTTTAGATATGAAGCTAGCAACCCTATCCCGAAAATACTGCTACCGAAACTTTTGAAGCTCTAGCTTGAAGCCCATGTTCAACTGGGAACGTAAAGGAATAAGATAAAAGGTAAAAACTGTTCATTCTAAGTTAAACAGATGATATCATCTACTTGTTCGTTATTTCTCACTGATTTTGACAATGCAGATTTCCAGAAATATGCATTTCAATGTGCACAACTAAGCTAGCACATATCAGTAAAAAGATATCTCTCGCAGTTCCTTGATGTGTTCAGCTTGTCTAATTTCGTTTAAACAACAGTGGTGTATTGTAAGCAGCTTTTTAAATGCTTCAGTAATTTATTTACCAGTGGAATAAACCCTGATATTCGATTAATCGATTGAAGCAAATTCTCCTATTCACTTATTTTTCTCTTTTGCACTATTAGTAGGAGTATTAGTATCTATAATGGTGTTGTAACTATTGTATCTAAGTCAATCGACTGCTTCTCCAAATCTCCATTAAATCCGCAAGCCTATGGCACAGATAAAGGTTTTTAAGTAGTCTATCAGACTATCTTTTGTTTAAATCAGTCTTCAAGATCTCTGCTGCTTCATTGTTCCTAACATCATAAACATATATTTCTACAAACTGATTGTCATCTCTCAGGTTAATATGACAATAGTCACTTGAATTGACTTTCTAAATATCTGACAGACGTTTAAGAGAGATGTGAACCTCTTTAATTCACGATCATAGACGTACTGATCACCAGTCTGTCATTAATGAATCTATCTATGAAAACAGTCAGTAGTTGTTGATGTCAATTCGCGACTCTAAACAAGTCCTTATCTTCGTTTATTCCTCTTCATGAATCTTTCTATCTAACTGAATAGTCTAAGATATTGTATTTTCAGACAAACGCCATCAAATTATTCTTAGGCCTTGAGAGTTAACATAGAAATCTCCAAACTTTAACCTCTACCGCTTTACACAAGCTACTATTATCTATCATTTAAGTAGCTTTGTGTATTTCCTAAAAGCTACTGTTCATTATTTTCAATGGAAAGTAATTCTACGCTTCAGAGACTAATCATTTACATTTAGTAACTATGTTTTGTTTTGAAAAAAAAACAAAGCAAACTTAACTAACTTTAAATAGATTGAATTAAAACAGAATTCAAATTTTTACTATAACCAAAAACAAATGTCGTGTTGTTCGATGATTTGTAATTATGCTATTGAAATTATATGTCTGGACTAAATACTTTAAAATGTTGTTGAGAAAAGAAAACATCAGCTCTAATAATGCTTCACACTGATATACTTTGCCTAAAAATAACTTTTTTATCAGTCTTGTGATTAATTTCTAAAGATAAAGACGCTTGTATTTTTATTCAAATTCATATCGACTATATTTTGGAATGAAATTCCTTTTTCTCTATTTTTCTTAGACAGTTCTGTTACTTTATTTCTAATGAATAATGATCACATTAAATTCTTTCATTAGTACTAATTGCTACGTTAGTAGAAAAAGACTAATAAGCAAATGTGTCAATTGAAACCATTGTGCTAAGATGAACAGCTTTCTATCAGGAATTAGCAAATGGTCTTCGTGTAACGGCCTTAAACTAAATCCTTCCAAATTGCCAGACTGTTAATTTCAGTTTCCGATGTAAACGAAAGTTAAGTGAAGCCGTTGGTTTCTATGACCCTTGCAAAATTGATGACACTGATATAGAAATCAAGTCTGTAGTTAAGCATCTTGGATTAATTCTTTCTACTGACCTATCCTGGTCTTCCCATGTCTTAGCGATTTCTAAAAGAATGTTTCGTCTGACTTTTTACATTAAGAAGTTAAGGCACTTAGGCATAACCTAACCACTCCTCTTACAGTTTGTCAACTCGTGCATTTTACCTATTCTTCTTTACTGTTCACCTTTATTCTTTCCTGGATTGCTTAAAAAATACTATGTCATACTTCGTAGAACTCTGAAGACTGTCGGTAGGACGAGTGGTATCCCATTGGGCCATATCGTTGACATTGTCACTGAAAGGTACTTGATGTCATGCAACAAATTTGCTAAAGGAATTTTGTCAGAATATGAGCACCCACTCTACCTGCAGCTCCAAACTTGTGTCTCCTCAGGTAAAACAAGGAGCCTTTTCAGAAGAACTCACGCACGTACGTCAGCCTGGAAAATTTGGGCTACCGATATCCATGCTGAAAATTCCATACTAGTGCCAAAAATACAGCATGGAATCAAGCTGTAATAAAAAAAGCACGTACTTTATGTGATGAAAATAATGTCAGGCATGAACTAGCTAACCTTCTTTGCACTACTAAATAA